AGTCCCGCTCGCAGCAGCGGGTGCAGCTGCAGTCGCAGCAGGAGAGGGCAGAGGCGGAGCCACAGGAGCAGCAGCAGGGGCCGGTGCCGTCGCAGCAGATGCCAGAGGAGGCGGAGCAGCACCGACTGCGACTACACGACCTCCCCGTCCCAGCACCTGCACGCTTTGTTCGTGGTCCCCTACCGTCCCCTCCTGTTCCCCCTGTTGAGTCCCTTTCCTCGTCCCAGTGGACTCGTCGTTCTCCCCTCAGTCGTGCTGTGTCCCCAGAGCGTCGTCGGTCCCGTTACCGTGCAGACGGTCCGTTCCACCTTGTTCTTCGCTCTCGTGTTCCACCTCCTCCTGTCCTTCCACAGCCCCCTGAGTCGTTCCTCACTGTGCTTCACGACCCGTTGTCCGACTACCTCCGTGCCTCCCGTCCTGTCGTCTCCCGTGTTTTGTCCGCGTTGGTCACTCACCCGACTGCACCTCTGTCGTCTGTTTCGGCACTTGTTACCACTGTCGCTGGCTTTGCCTCTTCCCACCGCCTTGACTACGCCGCTCACTTGGTGAGTGGCCCTGCTCGTTCTCCGTTCTCTGGGGGTGCTCCTGTTTTTCCCCTAGAGGTCCTCGAGGACAGGCAGTTCGAGCTTGGTTTTCTTGCGGCCGCTGTTCCTCATCTCTGCGCCGTGTTGCTTGCCCCTGAGGGGGATCCAGATGCTCTTGACATCCCGATCCCTCGCACTCACGCCGAGGCGGTCTCGGGACCCTGGGCTTCGTACTGGATAGCAGCTGAGGAGGCAGAGATGGCATCTTATAGGTCCACAGGCACTTACGTCGACGCAGTCCCACCACCTGGGACGAACGTCGTCAGTGGCCGATGGCTCTACAAGGTGAAGCGGCCGCCTGGATCACCACATGTGTTCAAGGCGCGCTATGTGGCGAGAGGCTTCAGTCAGCGAGAGGGGGTGGACTTCTTCCAGACCTTCGCTCCCACCCCGAAGATGAGTACTCTTCGGGTGTTGCTGCATATTGCAGCCCAGCGCGACTATGAGTTGCACTCCTTGGACTTTTCCACCGCGTTCCTTCAGGGGAGCCTGCACGAGCAGATCTGGCTGCGTCGCCCGCCTGGCTTCACTGGCTCTTTCCCACCTGGGACCCAGTGGCAGCTGCGTCGACCAGTCTACGGCCTGCGTCAGGCTCCACGTGAGTGGCACGACACACTTCGCTCGACCCTTGCAGCGCTTGACTTCTTTCCGTCGTCTGCTGACCCGTCACTGTTCGTTCGCCGTGGCTCGACCCCGTTCTTTGTCCTGGTCTATGTCGACGACCTGGTGTTCGCCACTCCCGACCGACGTGCGCTGGCCTCCGTGAAGGAGGAACTGCAGAGGAGACACACTTGTACTGACCTTGGTGAGCTGCAGCACTACCTTGGCCTGCAGATCACTAGGGACAGGGCAGCTCGCACCATTACGCTGACTCAGTCGCATATGGTCGAGCAGATCCTCACGCGGTTTCGCTTCCCGTTCTCCAAGGTACAGCTCACCCCTCTTGGTGTGGATCATGGGCTCACAGCTGAGTCCAGTGGTCCATATCCTGAGCTGGTGGGTTGTCTCATGTACCTGATGACCTGTACTCGCACAGACCTAGCTTACCCTCTTAGCGTACTTGCGCGCTTTGTTGCGCCTGGGAGACACCGACCGTCCCACTGGTACGCTGCTAAGAGGGTGGCGAAGTATGTGGCGAGTACATCAGGCATGGGACTTGTCCTTGGAGGGAAGCAGCCAGTTACACTTACAGGTTACTCGGACTCGTCGTGGGCCGACGACGCGGAGACCCGTCGGTCTACATAGGGGTACTCCTTTAGCCTCGGGGCAGGTGCTGTTTCGTGGCGGTCGACTCGGGCGTCGTCCGTCGCCGGTTCCAGCTGTGAGGCAGAGGTGTACGCTTCGGCTATGGCCGCTCAGGAGCTTCGCTGACTGTCTTTCCTTCTCACCGACCTTGGTGAGCGGCCTCGCTCTCCCCCAGTCTTGTTCGCCGACAACAGGTCTGCTGTCCTGTTGTGTGAGGAGCCCCGACTGGTTGGGAAGGCGAAGCACATCCATCTTCGTTATTTCCTTCTGCGTGAGTTGCAGCAGCGTGGTCAGGCACTCGTACGACGTGTGGTCTCTGAGGCCAACACTGCAGATATTTTCACCAAGGCGTTGCCGCCTTATGATCACCAGCGTTTCTGCACCCAGCTTGGCCTTGTGCGGGCCCGTCCTCACTTGCTTACGTAGATGCTTTGTCCTTATTGTCTTGTATTCTTGCATCTCAATATATTTGCTATATACCTCCATGTGAACTGGCCTTGTGGCTCTTTTGCTTGCTCTCGGACTGTGTGGTGACTTTGAGCTCCACCCTGAGATATGTGTTGTCTTTCCACGGGGTTACCGTCACCTAGACTATGGGGGTGTGTCAACATATATTTTATATGTGTTGTTTAGGTTAGTCTAGGTGTTACATTTCTACTTCCTTGCATGATTAGGGTTTGCTATATCTAGGGCTGTACTTCACATTTTCTAATCAATTCATTCTTATTGTAACAGGGTTGTGGCGGTAGCCGTCGTGGCTGTCGCCCTGGAGCTGGTCAGTCGGGAGCGTCTGGCAGTGGCCAACTGCAGCTGCAGCGGCGTCCACGCGAGACACTTACGCCCCAGCAGCTTCGTGAGTGGTACGCTCAGAGTAGAGGGTCTCGGAGTACCGCTCGCTGCCCGTACGTCATTCGCACAGGTGATTGGGCTGGTCAGGCTTGCGGGACGCTTGGTCACACACAGTCCCGCTGCTTCGCCCGTCTGAGCAACGCCTGGCGTACCGAGTTTGGCGACGAGGCTGAGCTCCCCACCTGGCTGGAGCTGCTTAGGCAGAGGGTAGATATCTTTGCTCTTGACTATGATGCTATTCTCACTGCCATGTATGCATTGCCTCTTAGTGCTGACGGTGCCTGTCACCTGTGCGTACCGCCTGACCCAGGTATAGAGTCTGCTGCTCTAGGTGCTGGTGAGGCTGCTGCTCTGAGTGCTAGTGCGTCTCCTGCTCTAGGTGCTAGTGAGGCTGCTGCTCTAGGTGCTCGTGAGTCTCCTGCTCCAGGTGCCGGTGAGGCTGCTGCTCTAGGCGCTAGTGAGTCCACTGCCCCAGGTGCTAGTGAGTCTGCTCTCTCTGGTACTACGCCTGCTGCGGTCTTGCACACCTTCACTCTTGACTCAGGAGCTTCCCGCTCCTTCTTTCGCGACTGCACCACACTCACGCCGCTTAGTCGGCCAGTTGCAGTCTCCCCGGCGGACCCCTCTGGGGGTCCAGTCCTTGCCCACTACTCCACGGTTCTGCCGTGTCCGGCCGCCCCGTCTGGCTCGCTGTCAGGTCTTTACCTCCCCTCGTTCTCTACGAACTTGGTGAGTGGAGCTGACCTCCAGGATGGGGGGGTTGACCACTTCACTCCTGCGAGTCAGCGAGTGACTCACTATACGTGTGCTCGGACGGGCCGACACCTGGCCACGTTTACCCGTGCGCCTGGCTCGAGTCTGTACACACTAACTACTGTGTCCCCTTAGGCCGCTGCGTCTGCGTCAAGTCAGCTAGCGGCCCCCTGCTCGTGTCGCGCTTTGTCGCACCGGACCCTCCTTTGGCACCACCGTCTTGGTCACCCCTCGGTGCAGTGCCTTCGTAGCATGCACCGCCGTGTCCTTGTCTCTGGACTTCCCAGGGTTCTCCCTCCCCTCCCACCCTCGCCTGCTCCTCCCTATCTTCCCTGTGTCGAGGGTCGGCAGCGCGCCGCTCCTCACTCCTCCTCGTTTCCCCCGACGACTGCTCCCCTGCAGACCCTGCACATGGATGTGTGGGGCCCAGCCCGCGTCAGTGGGCAGGACCGCGAGCGGTACTTTTTGCTGGTTGTTGATGACTACTCGCGTTACACCACGGTCTTCCCCTTGCGCACCAAGGGTGAGGTCCCTGATGTTTTGATCCCTTGGATCCGCACTGCCCGACTCCAGCTCCGCGAGCGGTTCGGGATGGAGTTTCCCGTCCTGCGTCTGCACTCTGACAGAGGTGGGGAGTTTTCCTCCGACCTTCTGCAGAGCTTTTGTCGTGGGGAGGGCATTCGCCAGACGTTCACGCTTCCGGCCTCTCCGCAGCAGAATGGGGTTGCTGAGCGCCGCATTGGCTTAGTCATGGAGGTTGCTCGTACCTCCATGGTCCATGCGGCTGCCCCCCATTTTCTGTGGCCGTTTGCGGTCCGCTACGCCGCGCATCAGCTCAACCTCTGGCCCCGTGTCTCCTTGCCGGAGACCTCGCCCACACTGCGGTGGACGGGGGAGGTTGGCGATGCGTCGGTGTTCTGGGTCTGGGGTTCTCGTGCCTTTGTCTGCGATACCACCGCGGACAAGCTCTCCGCCCGCGCTGTTCCCTGTGTCTTCCTTGGCTTTGTCCCTGACGCGCCTGGTTGGCAGTTTTACCACCCCACCTCGCGCCGTGTCTTCCCCTCTCAGGACGGCACGTTCGACGAGTCGGTTCCCTTTTACCGTCTCTTCCCCTACCGCACTGCCCCTCTCCCCCCCCCGCCGCTCTTCCTCGCTCCCAGTGCTCCCCAGGTAGACCCCCTCCCCGCTCCCGGTCCTGCTCCTTCAGGTGTGTCTCAGGTACACCCTCCTCCCTTGACTGCGCCGGTTGAAATCACTGGTGACTCAGGTCCTGCTGAGGGTGGTCCTGCTCGGGGTGCTGAGCCTGGGGGTGCGGAGTCTGGGGGTGATGAGCCTGGGGGTGCTGAGCCTGGGGGTGCGGAGCCTGGGGGTGCTTAGCCTGGGGGTGCGAAGCCTGGGGGTGCGGAGCCTGGTGGTGCTGAGCCTGGGGGTACTGAGTCTGGGGGTGCCGCACCTGGGGGCGCTGAGGCGTCTGGTGAGCAGTCTCCCTGGAGCGGCCGTCTCCGTAGTCGCTCCGCTGGTGCCTCGCCGCTGCACTCTCGTCATCGCCTCCCTCTCTCCCCACAGTAGCTGCGTGAGTGGTACGTTAGCCGTCAGGGTCGAGCTACTGGAGTTGGGGGCCCTGCTGCGGGTGGCGCTGGAGCTGGAGGTTCTGGAGCTGCTGCGGGTGCTGGCGCTGGAGGTTCTGGAGCTGTTGGAGGTGCTGGCGCTGGTGGCGCTGGAGCTGGAGGTTCTGGAGCTGCTGCGGGTGCTGGCGCTGGAGGTTCTGGGGCTGCTGGTGACGCTGGTACTGGAGGTGCTGGCGCTGGAGGTTCTGGAGCTGCTGGTGACACTGGTACTGGCGGTACTGCCTCTGAGGGTTCTGAGCCTGCTGTTGTGCGGTCTCCTTGGAGTAGCCGCCTTCGTCCGCGTGTGCCTCTCACCTCACAGCAGCTGCACGACTGGTACAGTCGCCGTCAGGGTCGCGCTTCTGGAGCTCGGGGCTCTGCCGCTGGAGGTGCTTCTGCTGACGTCACTGGAGCTGGGAGTGGTGCTGGTCCTTTGTCTCCTGGAGGTGCTGGAGTCGCTGGTCCCGGAGGTGCTCGTACTGGAGGTACTAGAGCTGCTGGGGCTGGAGGTGCTGTGCTTGAGGGTGCTACTGCTGGAGACCCTGGGTCTGGGAGTGCTGCTGCTGGAGACTCTGAGGCTGGAGACCCTGGGACTGGAGGTGCCGGTTCTGGGGGTGCTGCTGCTGGTGGAGCCGGTCCTGGAGGAGCTGGCGCTGAGGGTTCTGGAGCTGCTGGAGGTACTGGAGTTGTTGGTGCTGGTGGCACTGCACAGTCGCGCCTGTTCTTCGCTCCACCGTCTCCGTCGTCTCAGCCACCGCCTGACTCTGTGCTTCGCCAGGTTCTTAGTCTCCCTTCGTCTACTGGTCTTCCGTTACAGCCTGGCTTACCGCCGCCTGCTCCTTCTCCTTACACTGAGCAGACACGGGGTCTTATTGAGCGTCGTGAGCCTGGGTCGCGTCCTGTCTCGCCTGTCCGTTCCGGTCGTCGTGTTCCTCGTCCGCGTCAGCCGGCTGTCCCCGGAACCCACCTCGTAGTCCGTCGTCCTTCCTCTCCTCCACAGCGTGTTCCTCTGCCGTCTCCCCCTGCGTCCCCTCTGCCTGGCGTTGCGGACCCTGAGTCTGACCAGTTTCGTGCTGAGCACCCTACTGTCACGCGTCTGTTAGCCACTGTTGTCACTGACCCGTCGTTCGAGTCTGCTGCTGCGTCTGCCTTGGTCGCTGAGCTTGTTGACTTTGCTGCTGCCTGTCGTCTAGACTACGCTGCTAGTCTTGTTGCTGAGTCTGAGTCTGTCTGTCCTCCGTCCGTCGGGGGTGAGTGTGCTCTTAGCATGGACGTCCTTGAGGACAGGCACGAGGACCTTGAGTGTCTTGCGGCTGCTGCGCCTCATCTCGTGGCCATGCTGCTTGCCCCTGAGGGAGACCTGGATGCACCAGACATCCCGACCCCACGCTCTTACGCTGAGGCGATCGCGGGTGAGTACTCCTCTCAGTGGCAGACAGCCATGGACGCAGAGATGGCATCCTGGAAGTCCACAGGCACTTACGTCGATGAGGTTCCCCCTCCCGGGGCGAACATCGTCGACGGCATGTGGATTTTCAGGGTGAAGCGGCCGCCAGGTTCTCCGCCTGTCTTCAAGGCTCGTTACATTGCTCGAGGCTTCAGTCAGCGGGAGGGAGTTGACTTCTTCCAGACCTTCTCCCCCACCCCAAAGATGACCACTCTTCGGGTGCTGCTGCACGTTGCCGCTCAGCGTGACTACGAGCTTCACTCGCTTGACTTCAGCACAGCTTTCTTACAGGGCAGCCTGCACGAGGAGATCTGGTTGCGCCGCCCACCTGGCTTCACTGGGTCGTTCCCTCCTTGTACCCAGTGGAGCCTCCGGTGGCCAGTCTACGGTCTCCGCCAGGCTCCGCGTGAGTGGCACGACACACTGAGGACGACACTTGCGGCTCTTGGGTTTGCTCCTTCGACTGCTGACTCGTCACTGTTTCTGCGCACAGACACTTCGCTGCCGCCGTTCTATATCCTCGTGTACGTCAACGACTTGGTCTTTGCCACTGCTGACACTGAGGCTCTCGCCCTGGTGAAGTCGGAGTTGCAGAAGAGACACACGTGCACAGACCTGGGTGAGCTATGCAGTTACCTTGGCTTGCAGATCACCCGGGACAGAGCACGCCGCACCATCACACTGACTCAGTCACACATGGTGCAGCAGGTCCTTCAGCGCTTCGGCTTCACTTGGTCCTCGGCACAGGCCACTCCTCTGGCTACAGGTCACTCACTCTCTGCTCCACCTTCGGACGAGTCAGTAGAGCCGAATGGTCCTTACCCAGAGCTCGTGGGCTGCCTCATGTACCTGATGACCTGCACTCGTCCTGACCTTGCGTACCCTCTTGGCCTTCTCGCTCGCTACGTGGCTCCTAGTCGGCACCGAAAGGTGCACATGGATGCTGCTAAGAGGGTACTACGCTACTTGTGCAGTACATCGGGCATGGGGCTCGTGCTTGGAGGACGGAGCGACGTTGTCCTCACTGGGCACTCGGACGCTTCTTGGGTTGACGACCAGGCTACGCAGCGGTCGTCACAGGGTTACACCTTCAGCCTTGGCTCTGGTTCAGTTTCTTGGCGTTCTACACGCTCGTCTTCAGTTCTCAGCTCCAGTTGTGAGGCTGAGATCTACGCCACAGCCATGGCTGCACAGGAGTTGCGCTGGCTCACCTGCCTGCTGACCGACTTGGGAGAGCGTCCTCGTTCTCCTCCAGTGCTGTACGTCGACAACAAGGCCGCCATTGCCTTGTGTCAGGAGCACAGACTAGAGCACAGAACGAAGCACATCGCTCTGCGTTACTTCCTGGCTCGAGAGTTGCAGCAGCGTGGTCAGCTTCGTCTTGCTCACGTGGCCACTCGGGCCAACACTGCTGATATATTCACCAAGGCACTTCCGTCTGGTGATCATCAGCGTTTCTGCACTTTGTTAGGCCTTGTGCCCACTTTTCCTCACTTGCTGTAGACTTTACTTGTACTGTGATCTATATATATACCTGCATGCTTGCTCTGCTAGGTAGAGATCACTGTACTGTTGTTGTTGCATAAGTACCTCTGCATGTGAACTGGCCTTGTGGCCCTTTGCTTGTGCTTAGTGTGTGTGGTGACGTTGTGATCCACCCTGAGCTTGCTTTGCTTCTCTTGACTGGTCTTGTGACCCCTTGCTCTCCCCCACTTTGCCTATGGGGGTGTCTCAAATTAAATGTTTGATATATATGGTTAGGCTGTAGTGGGGTAGCCAATATGGGGTACAGCCCCGTTTAGGGTTTCATACTTGTACCCAACTCTTTCATACTGCATTCATTCCTGTCTCTAGATTCTAACAAAGTGAAGGTGAGGAGGGGCTGAAGCCCCTTGGGAGGGGTGAGTGGAAAGGTAGGGGCTGAAGCCCCTTGGGAGAATGAGTGGAAAATAAGGGGCTGAATCCCCTTGGGTGGGTGAGTGGAAGAGAAGGGGTTGAGACCCCTTGGATGGGTGAGTGGAAAGAAGGGGCAGAAACCCCTTGGGTGGGTGAGTGGAGAGAAGGGACTGAAAACCCTTGGGAGATGAGTGGAAAGGAAGGGGCTGAAACCCCCTTGGGAGGGTGAGTGGAAGAGAAGGGGCTGAAACCCCAGGGTGAGTTGAGTGAGGGGCAATGGTGGGGGCCTGAATCCCCAGGGTAAGTGGAGTGAGAGGGCGAGGAGAAAGAGGGTCTGAAACCTCAAGTGTAGTTGAGTGAGGGGCAATGGTGGGGGCCTGAATCCCCCATGGTAAGTAGTGTGAGAGGGCGAGGAGAAAGGGGCGATGAAACCCGCCAGGGGGGAGAAAGGTTGGTGGGCGGGGAGAGTGATGGGCCTGAAACCCCTCCTTTGGTGAGTCGAGTGAGGGATGGGGGTTGAAATCAAGGCGGTTGAGTGGGAGAGAGGGATGGGGCCTGAAACCCCTAACCTAAGGTGAGAGTGAGAGAGGGGTGGGGGCTGAAACCCCTAACCTAAGGTGGGTAAGTGAGTGGTAGAGAGGATTCGGGGCTGAATTTCCCAAGGTGGTTGAGAGGGAGAGGGATGGGGCCTGACTGTCCTAGGGTGGGTGAGTGTGGCTGGGAGATGGGGGCTGAATCCCCTAAGGTGGGTGAGTGGGAGAGAGGGATGGGGACTGAAATCCTTTAAGTGGGTGAGTGGAAGGTAGGATGGGGGGCTGACTCCACTCAGGTGGGAGAGTGGGAAAGTAAGATGGGTGCTGAATTCCCAAGAGTTGATTCTCCTAGGGTTGGTGATTGAGTGGGAGAGAGGGGTCGAGGCTGAATCCCCTAAGGTTGTGAGTGGGAGAGAGATGGAGGCTGAATTGTCTCAGGTGGGCGGGTGGGAGAGAAAAATGGAGGTTGAATTTGCTAAGGTGGGTGAGTGGAAAGAGAGACTGGGGCTGAAACCCGCTATCGTGGGTGGGAGAGTGAGATGGGTGGTGAGTGTTTTGGAAGTTGAAGGTTGGTGGCTGGTTGGGTGGTAGAAGGGTAGGTGGTTTGCTGGTCACGAGTGATTAGGTGGAGGGTAGCCCCTCTGGGGGTCCGGTCCTTGCACACTCCTCCACGGTTTTGTCGTGTCCGTTGTCCCGTCTGGCTCTTTAATTAGCCTCCACCTCCCCTCGTTCTCCACGAACTTGGTGAGTGGAGCTGACCTTCACGACGCGTGGGTTGACCAGTTCACTCCTGGAGGTCAGCGGGTGACCCACTGTTCGTGTACTCGGACGGGCCGGCACCTGGCCACGTTCACCCGTCAGCCTGGGTCGAGCCTGTACACCCTGACTACCGTGTCTCCTCCGGTTGCTGAGTCCGATCAGGTAGCCGCGTCGGGTCAGGTGTTTGTTGCAATGTCCCGGTCTGGTCCTGAGTCTGCCCCCTGTTCGTGTTGCCTCCTGTCTCACCAGACTCTCCTCTGGCACCACCACCTTGGTCACCCCTCCCTGCCTCGTCTCCGAGGCATGGCCTCCCGTGTCCTTGTCACTGGTCTTCCCCGGTCGCTCCCTCCCCTTCCCCCGGGGCCTGCCCCTACCTGCGTTCCTTACGTCGAGGGGCGGCAGCGCGCCGCTCCTCACTCCTCCGAGTTCCCTCCGACGGAGGCTCCCCTGCAGACTCTTCACATGGACGTGTGGGGCCCCGCCCGCGTCCGTGGACAGGGTCACGAGCGCTACTTTCCGCTGGTCGTTGACGACTACTCGCGTTACACCACAGTCTTCCCCTTGTGCCGCAAGGGTGAGGTCACTGAGGTGCTGATCGACTGGATCAGCGCTGCCTGTCATCAGCTCAGCGAGAGTTTCGGCTCGGACCTTCCTGTTCTGCGTCTGCACTCCGACAGAGGTGGAGAGTTTTCCTCCGACCTTCTGCGAGCCTTCTGTCGTGCGGAGGGCATCCGCCAGACGTTCACGCTTCCGGCCTCTCCGCAGCAAAATGGGATTGTTGAGCGCCACATTGGCATGGTCATGGATGTCGCTCGTACGTCCATGATCCATGCGGCTGCTCCCCATTTTTTGTGGTCGTTCGCGGTTCAGTACGCTGCGCATCAGCTCAACCTCCAGCCCCGGGTCTCCATGCCGGAGACCACACCTACTCTACAGTGGACGGGGAAGGTTGGCGATGCGTCTGCGTTCCGTGTCTAGGGATCTCGAGCTTTCGTCCGCGACTTGTCTGCGGACAAGCTGTCCTCCCGTGCTGTTCCCTGCGTCTTCCTTGGCTTCCCCCCTGACGCGCCCAGTTGGCAGTTTTACCACCCCACCTCGCGCCATGTTCTGTCCTCACAGGACGTCACGTTTGACGAGTCGGTTCCTTACTACCGTCTCTTCCCCTACCGCACTGCCCCCCTTTCCCTCCCGCCGCTCTTTCTCGCACCTGGTCCTCCCCCGGTAGACCCCCTCCCCCCTCAGGGTCCTGCCCCCTCAGGTGTGTCCCAGGTAGACGCAGTCGAGCCTGTCGAGGTCGCTGTTGACTCTGGTGCTGCTAGGGGTGCTGAGCCTGTGGGTGCCGGGTCTGGGGGTGCTGAGCCTGAGCGTGTGGAGCCTGGGGGTGCTGAGTCTGGGGGTGCTGAGCCTTGGGGTGCTGAGCCTGGGGT